ATTGTTGCATCGTTGCCCGTTCGCTTCCGGTAGCCCTCCGAGGCCTAAAGATGGCTCGAAGCCACGGGAGCCCCAAGGCGGCCTCAAGCTCGCCCAAGAGCGCTCGAGCGCCCCAAGAGGGCCTCGAGAGACGATGTGTGGGGCTCCCGAGGGGCAGTAGTATTTGGGGAACCCCTCTTGTTCGATCGATGTCCTCCAGGATGGCTCCAAGAGCGCCCCCAAGGCCCCCAAGAGCGCCCCAAGAGGGCCCCAAGAGGCGCGCGCCCAGGCGGCCACAAGAGGCGCCGAAGAGGCCCCCAAGAGGCTCCCAAAAGGCCCCCAAGAGGCTTCAAGATGATCCCCGAGGCACCCGCGATGCCCCCCAGACGCTCCAAGAGGCCTCAACAAAAAAAAACAAGATCGTCATGTGTTTTTCCTCCTCCTCCTCCTCCTCCTCCTCCTCCTCCTCCTCCTCCTCCTCCTCCTCCCTCCTCCTCCCCTCCTCGTCCTGTCCTCCTCCTCCCCCTCCTCCTCCTCCTCCTCCTCCTCCTCCTCCTCCTCCTCCTCCTCCTCCTCCTCCTCCTCCTCCTCCTCCTCCGTTTCCTCAACCTTTTCCGTCTCCCCCTCTCCCTCCTCCTCCTCCCTCCTCGCTCCTCTCTCTCCCTCGCCTCCTCCTCCGCTTCCTCCTCCTCACTCTCCTTCTCCGACTTCCAAGAGAAACCAGAGGAGACTCCGAGAGTCATCCAAAAGGCTCATGGCTCTTCTGTTCGCCCTCCGTCTTACTCCTCCTCATCGTCTTCCTCCTCTGCATCCTCCTCCTTCGTCGTCGTCATCGGCGTCGTCGTCGTGGTCGTCGGCGTCGTCGTCGACGTCGTCGTGGTCGTCGTCGTCGGGTGCGTCGTCATCGTCGTGGTAATCGCCGTCGTCGTCGTCGCCGTCGCTCTCTTCCTCTCTCGTCCCACTTCTTCCTCCTCCTCAGCCCCGTCCTCCTCCAACTCCTCCCACAAAGAGGAGGTAAAAGAAAGCAAGCAGGAATGAGGAGGAACAAGAGGAGATTGGCCAGGGCACAAAGCAGCAACTCTTGCGAAGCATACCCACTGTCGTGGTTTTCGCGCGTACCCCCTTCTGCCCTCGCATATATCCTCTTGTTCCACCTAATTCCTACTTGCTTCCTTGTACTTCCTCCTGTGGGAGGAGTGGGAGCAGGACGGGGCGGAGGAGGAGGAAGTGAAGGCGGCGGGATGAGAGAGGAAAAGAGCGACGACGCCGACGACGACGACGACGGCGATGACGACGACAATGACGACGCACCCGACGACGACGACGAAGACGACGATCACGAAGACGACGGCAATGACGATGTGAGGAAGAGAAGGAGGGCGAACAGAAGAGCCATAAGCCTTTTGAATGACTCGGAGTCTCCTCTGGTTTCTCTTGGAAGTGCAGAGGAGGAGGAGGGGGAAGGAGGAGGAGGAGGAGGCGGAGGAGGCCGGTGAGAGAGAGGAGAGAGGATGGAGGAGGAGGAGGAGGAGTAGGAGGAGGCGGATAAGGAGGAGAGAGAGAGGAGGAGGCGGTGGAGGAGGAAACAATGACGATGAGAAGAGCTTCCTCGGATGTCTCTTGCTTTTTTTGAGGCCTCTTGGAGCGTCTG